TATGCTGATTTGGAGATCAAAAAAATTATTTCATTCAGTCATGTTGAAAACACTAGTGCTGCCTAATATTTTTTTTGTAGAAACCATGACTTTCAGGATTGGTTGAAAGCATTTGTATTTTTGGGAGCAATGTAACAGTCTTTCTTTACTGTCACTATTGATCAAATAAATGTATTCTTGTTGAATAAAACATTTGAACAGTAGTGCATATAGCCGAATAGGTCAAGTGATAGTTATATGAGTGCCATCAGACTATCTATATTGTTTAGCCCTGCAGTAAGAACCAAAAGAAGTAGGGCTGAACATGAGCAACTTCTCCCTTCCCTCTCTCCTTCACTTAAACGTACACCCTCACACACAAAGGTACATGGGGTCGCCCACACTCGGGCTCCATTGTTATGTATGGCTGTGTTAATCTGACTGCTGGCCTCTCTTCCGCTCTCTTTGTCTCCTCCACCAGCCCAGTCGCAGAAGTCAACAGCACCGCACAAAGGGCCTGCATCCCCCAAAACTGGTTAACGGTGGGGCCTGCTTGAGGCTTTGATCAGCTTTTTCAGGGTTCAGTCCCATGTTCCCCCCTCCCTATGCTGGAGAAGGCTGAATGGTTACACTTGAGGGAGGTTGTTAAGGGAGACGAGTGCGGAGAGAGGTGCTCAGGATTGATACTTGTGTCACTGGTTCAGTAGGGGATGCTATGTGCTGCCTATACAAACACTGGAGGGTTTTTTTTTTCTTAGATTATTTTCTGTCATTTTGGGGATAAGACAACAGATCTATCCAAATAACTGTAGAAAATTCCTTTTAAAGCTAGTTATTTAGCTAACATGATTTACAGTACACTTACAGGTACAGTCCACCTGCATGTAACCAAAGGTTTAAGTCAGCATGAAATCAAAATTGACCTCCTTTACTTACTTAAAGGATTAGTTCTCCCAAAACTGAAAATTCTGTCATCAGTTGCTCACCCTCATGTCGTTCCGAACCCATAAGACTTAAATTCATCTTCATAACACAAAGTAAAATATTTTTAATGGACCAGATTTCTGTCCATTGCCCCAAAACCTTCATGTTTCCATAAGTTCATAAAGACATGGTAAAAGTAATCCACATGAATCGAGCAGTTTAATCCAAGTCTTCTGAAGAGACTCGATTGCATTATATGATGAACCTATTTAATTTAAGCTTTTATTCATGTATGAACATTGACTAACGCACATGCATAGTGCACAAAAATGGCAAGAGAGAAGTTTAAAAGATGTCTTAATGCAAGGACAGATCTCAGGTTTGATTAAAAATGGCTTTTATTTGAAAAAAAAATGTGAAACATTTTCTGCTTTGGCTTTTTTGGAACTATTTTCAGTGACAAAATAGCAAAAAACACATTATTATGTCTAAAATGTAATTCACTCGTTTTTTTAACGTCTTATTTCTTGAACATATTCAGGAAAATGGATCTCTTGCTTTTGTGATGTCACTGTGTATTAACTATATCAATGTTATCATCAATATAAAAAACTCATACTGGGATATTTTTTGCCCACATAACGAATTATTGGGGCATTCTAATTGGCTTTATCACACAGTGATTTTTTTTGGACTCTCAAGACGTGTTTCTGCTTTTTGCAAAGTGAGTGACATACTTGAATATGTCACCTCGTATTTAATTAAAAGAACAATTACGATGTTATAATAGATGATAAATATTGCACTTCCCTACCTCCAGCTTCCATATTTGGGTCAAAAGGTTGCTGATCATGTTTCCACTATTGATTGCAAACTGACATAAGGTCTAACTCCATTATGGTATTGAACACCCAATTTTTAATGATCCAATCAATTCCGATACGCCAAAGTCCCACCTTACTTTTTTCTACTTTTCTCATTGAATATTCTGCTTCATTTGGAAATGTATCTCTTTACAAGTGCCTTGCTCAATGGTGGTAGCCTCAAATGCCTTCAATGCATGGTGCATGCAAATATAGCAAGTTATAAGCAACAAAGTAAACCGAATTTGATACCAATAGTCAGATGTCTGACTGTGTGAGACTACAATGGTGGTATTTCACACATCAGCCTATGGAAGTCTATATAGTTTCTAGAGGAAATGATCTGTTAGCATTCTTATTCATCTGCTACCAAGATGCTACCTTGCTCAGATCTGCAACCAAGCTAAATGCCATGTAGCTTTAAAGCACTGAAGCTCCTGTCCTGCAAAGTTTAGCTCCAGCCCAGAGTATTTTTACGTATTTTTTCGTACGTATTTTACGAGGTGGCTAATTCGTAACAATTCGTACGACCTCACGATTTTTTGCTTAATCGTACATATTTTACGAATTGGCCAATTCGCATGAATTCGGACGAATGACCTACCCCTGACCCCGCCCCTAAACCTACCCATCACGTGGGTTTAGACAAATTGTACGAAGGTCATATGAATTAGTACGAATTAGCCACTTTTTAATCACTCGTAGAGATGATTAAAGAGTGAGATAGCGTTGGCAGGAAAGTGGTCAGGAAAGTGACGTGACAATACTGATTGGATCATAGAGTTTGAATCTACAACCTGCCCAAAATCTTTAAAATGATATGCCACTACACCACTTTCATGTCATTAATTTATGAGTCATAATCCTCTGTTTCTGCGCACATTTAATGAATGTTATAAGAAATTGCAATAAAGCACTGCAAACGATATTTATTTATTTATTATGTTTTTAAAGATTAATTATTGGAAAAAGGGATTTCACGTTTTCTACTTTTACGTTTCATTCAATGTGTTACTTACAACTTCTATGTAATTATTTGTGAAATAGTTTTATTTTTTATAAAGCAATACTTTTATTCAGCGTGACATTAAATGCATTAACAGTGACAGACATTTAAAATGATACAAAAAATCAGTTTTAAATAAAAGGTGTCCTCTTGAATTTAATTTGAATTTGAATTTTGAATCCTCTTTCTATTTATCAGAGAATCCTGAAAACAAATATATCACTATTTCCACACACATATTTGGCAGCACATCTGTTTTCAACATTTATAATATGAGCATCAAATCAGCATATTAGAATGATCATGTGTCACTGAAGGTTGAAAATGTTGCTTTGCCATCACAGAAATACATAACATTGTAAATTATATTCAAATAGAAAACAATTAAGATTATTTGTTTTTACTGTATTTTGAACAAATGAATACCGCCTTGGTGAGAAAGAATAAGAGACTCCTGTCACAAACATGAAACAAATCTTTATCCACAACATTTTGAATGGTAGTTTATATTCACTATGGTATTCTTTGTGGCTTTATGTTTGCTTTAGAACGGGCTCAATGCATTTTCCAATGAGGATCCCATTAACAAGTTTTAGTAGCCGTTTAGTTCAGGACTGTGATTCAGCTGTGAGAGGAAACACTCCGAGAGTCCTTGACAGTTTGTGTTTTGAGATACGCCTTCACATGGCCTGTTCCCTACACACAGAGTACTCTTCAAGTCAGAATAGTATCTCAGTCTCTTTCTGTCTGATGGGAGCTTGTGTTCATGGTTAATTAGTTTCTCCTACACATCCGTTGTGTTCTCCGTGGGCCCAACGGTGGTGGCCGGGCGCACGCCAGCTTTCTTCTCTCTCAGACTATTAGTCAGCTGGAATTCATTAAAACACACACACACTGATGAAGTTGCACCCTGTGCGCACACCTCTTATTTTTATTTGTTGGTTCTATGTTAATTAGCATACCTATGAGACGTACAAGTAGCATCTGTCGCTATTCCGGTATTCCCCCCTCCCTTGCTCTACTTTTCATCCCTCCATCTCGGTCTCGCTGTATGGTAAGCGAAAGGTTTTTTGTGATGTTGATTATGGCTTACTCTCTAGCGCCCTCCCTGGTGGTGGTGGTGTAGAATGTGTGTAGATGCCAATTGGAGAAACTCCCCACACTATTTTATGTATGTATAAAGCCGATTTGATGTAAAAACTAGGTGGATTTATGAAAATATTTCCTAATATTCATATGAGAAGCACATTATAGTATCTTTGGTGTGTGTGTTTGTCATTTTGAATAGGCCTGGCAGGATTACCATAGTGAGGTCCTCCTTTCTCTGGCTTTGTGTGATTGCTGGGCCGTGACTGACGAGGCATTTCCCCCACGTAGACACACGGAGGTGTGTGTGTGTGTGTGTGCGTCTGAGAGAGAGACAGAAGGGGGGCATCAGGATTAAAGGAAATGTTTCCTGTTTATTGTACTTGGGGTCCTCAGGGATGTTTTGGGGGCATTGTTGCGACGTGTTGTGCGCGTAGATTTAAAAAGCACACACACAAGTTAATGAACGTATAAGGATTCTTTTCATAACCATTTTTATTAGTTTGAATATCTGAATGTATATTTTTGTCTGTTAGAATTTTGTTTCTTGTATCTGTATCATTATCGTTAATGTGACATGCTAAACTAGCATCAGTTTTTGTAGCATCAATAGTTGAATGGCCCTTGTCAGCTCTGGTCAGTTCCCAGAGATTTGTTTTGTTTATTTGTATTACTTTGTACTCTTCTATGGAGATTTTTTTAGTTTTTTAGTGACTTTATGCATTATGTACAGGTTTGGCTATGCTTGTGAGGGCCAAATGTCCTTGCTTGTATGGTGAAATATTATGACAACTGACTAGTGAGGGTTACGTTTAGGGGTTGGATTAGGCCACAGAAAATATCATTAACCTGATATAACATCTATGGAAGTCTACGCAATGTCCTAATATAGTGAAACAAACGTGTGTGTGTGTGTGTAATTTTTAAAGCTGTGTGTTGATGTGCAGCTGTGTATTGCTGTAGTAACTGTCTCTCTGTCTCTTGAGAATGATCTTAAAAAAAGGTCAAATTAGGGGAGTGGGCCTCTTGTACTATAGACACACACACATAATCACACACAATCTCTTATTGAAGTTTCATTTAATTCCAAGTTAATGGTTTGAGTTTGTTTTTCTCATGTACTGATCTCTTTTTTTTCATAGAACATGGAAATGATGGCGGGAATATACAAACCTGGACTATATCAGAAAAGGATAAATGGGTAATGTTACATTTGTCAAATCTGAAATTTATTAATAGAAATTACTGGTATTTTATAACATACTTTTACGGTTGGTTTTAAAAAACTGAAAATAATTGTTATTTTTTAGGATTGTCTTTGATAGGAGGTGATTACCATTTTGTGTGTGTGTGTGTGTGTGTGTGTGTGTGTAGGCTCAGATCCATAATAAAGGGGTTGGCCTGAGGCGTGTTTCAAACCGCTTCTCAAACCGTTACTACACTGAAAAATCCATCACGTGTCACAACTGCAGAAAGACCGGCCATCTCTCCAAAAACTGCCCCACACCAAAGGTACATCATTATCCACCCTTCACTGTGACTATACTACACTCATCTGCCCCACAGCAAAGGTCCACATTTTCTCATTTCCACTCAACGAATGTGCTGAGACATATAGTACCGGATTAGCCAAAAAGCTGTCAGCTTTAGCCACTGTCCCAAAATGCTGCGATTGACCAATCAGAATCAAGTTTTTTTTCGGATTTTACGCAGTAATGTAACACTTTATAAGTCACTAGGATGAAAAGATATTTTAGGTAAAAGTTTTTGTGTGACATGTTAAACATTCACATATTTTGACAATATGTATAATTGTTTATTTACTGGATTGTCAAAAATAGAAATACAATTTTAAGATATCTTATATAGATGGTATTATTTCTTAATGTCACTGTTTTGCAGTTTTATTTTATCAAATACATGCATATCATGCACTAGAATAGTGTATATGTCTATGCTATAAAAATATGCTATAAAATCAATGCTACAAAAATTATGAGCATTGCCATTGAAGATAAAATTATATAAACAACTCTGTTATAAACTATAACAAGTTGTGAGTTTGAAAAGTATTCTTTTCGATTCATTTAAAATGAGGAAAAATGTTTTTATTTTATTTTATTTGTGTGACCATTAATACAATTTGTTTTGCACAAAATAGCTGTTGAAATTTAGATTTAGATTTACAAATGGTTAAAGATAATTCTTTGAAAAGTTTTCTAGTTTTAATATATTAAGAATATGATTTTGTATCAACTTAATAGTGTTTTGTCATTTAGGCTCGTGTCACTAAGTATCAGAGTTGTTGTTACTGTGTGTGTTTATGAGCAGAAGATGCCATGCTGCTCATTATGTGGGCTTCAGGGACACTTACAGAGGACCTGTCCGAGCCGTCACTGTTATAACTGTTCGCTGCCCGGCCACACCTATGATAACTGTCTGGAGAAAGCTCGCTGGCACAAATGCTGCCACCGCTGTGGCATGACCGGGCACTTCATTGACGTGAGTAGTTCTCTGTGGGTGTGTATTGTGTTGCGTTGTGTTTTAGTTTTGGGTGTGTGTGTGTGTGTGTGAGAGAGAGAGAGAGAGTGAGTCTATCTCTTGGGCCGTTCTTTCTCTCATTAAGACAGACGCTTCACAGGCTGTGAGTGGGACACACGCTCCACTCGTCACCCCCAACAACAACCCCACCGAGAGAGATAGAAATGGGGGAGGAAGAGATAGAAGTGACTTTTAGAAACAGCAGGAGAGATGAAAGAGAAAAAGATATAGCTTGTTAAAACAAAGACTGGAATCGTATTTTATAACTAGGGATGGGTCAGGGTCATTGCAATTAGTGCAGTGGATTCGTTTTTTTCTTGCATGCAGATTGAAGCCCCTGTATTCTCTTCCTTTTTTATGCAAGAACATTCACTCAACATAAAAGCTTGTTAAGTTTGTTCATCATCTGTTGTCTTGTGGTTTGGAAACAGTTTTAATGTAATTTTGGCATAGTTTTAATTGAAACGAAATTGGTCCCATTCATGCATAACATGACAAACAAACACATTTTATGATTTGGCTGCAGTTAAACAATCCTGCTGCAAGATATTCTGCAGCATTCTATTAGTCAAAGTAAGAAGTTGTTCTGATTATCTAAACTCCGCAAGTTCTCACATCACACGGTTCCAATCATAATGCCCCATCATCCCTTTAAGACTTCTAGTTGTTGACTGAATCTACTGTAGAACTGATAGTAAATATGGAATACAGAGCTTAGTTGATCTTACTGGTTAACTGAACAAACAATTCTTCAGCCGCCAGCACAACATGACTTTTAATTATGCTTATAATCTATAATTACACCAGTCCTAAAAACTGCTATGTAGCATTTGTTAATGAACTCTGAGAGTCGAAAAATATCAGCCGGTCCATTTACTTTACTTTGCGGTTTTGGGCTTGCTGAAACATACATAATGAAGACCACCGGTTTTGATATTTACATATTTATTGCATGTTTGGGATGTGTAAATATCGAGACCGCCTGAACCCAGATTGTTTGCAAGATTTGTATTAAAAATATATACGTTAAAATTTTAGTTTTATGACTATGTAAGATTGATTTTGACATTTATAAAGGCCTTTTTGAAATTTCAATGTTTATGTTGCCCCTATTCCTTTATTACTCAAACAGCTTTTTTTATTTTTACGTTTTTTTCCACCCCTTTCTCATATTTGACGATTTGTAACGCTTTTTGATAGTAAAATGACTGATCAATCTGATAACATGTTCCCTTGCAAACACTATGCTTAATTTGCCATAGTTTGGCACAAATCTCATTGGATGTGAGAATTGGCTTCAATATTCGACTATACCCCCTAGATTTGTGTCTAAAAAAATGTCATTTTATCAATGCTCAGGAAAATCTCAGGAAAGTCATGGTTTTAGAAGACTAATAAGCAATGGGCCATCGCTTTGGGTGCCCTCAAACAAGTCTAAAACAACAGTAGAACTCATCATTATATAAAGATCATGGCAGTATGAAAATGTGATTTTAATAGCTTTATTGCTGTATAATCATGTCACAGTGAGCGAGGGAAAGGAAAGCAGATTCTTAAAGATTTTGAACGTTTCCTTCAATACCCTCAGCAGGGTAACCCTCCAGCCTCTGCCCGGCTCTCAGGTGGGGTTAAATGAAAAGCTAACTGTATAAATGAGTCTGGCTGCTGTGCCCTCGGCACTTTCAATTTTCACAGAAATGTAGGAAGCTCGCAGGGCAAATGCGCTAACCACCCTCGCTCAGTGTCTGTTAAGACGACTTGAGCTGTCAACACCGCACCTCTTTCTTCTCCTACTATTATCCTTTCCTTTTCAATTTCCTTTCCTTTTTCCTGGTCTATTTTTTTTCTGTTTTCCTGTTCCATTTTGTTTTCCTTTTCCCATTTTTTCCCTTTCCTTTTCATTCTTCTTTTCCACTTTCTCTTCTCTTCTTTCATTGTCTTGCCTTTTCTTTCATTTTCCCATCTGCTTTCATGTCAACATCTTTTCATCTCTCATCTTCTCTTGTTTTGCTGGATTTCCTTTCATCTTTATTTTCAACACTATCAATCCTTTCATAAACGTCATCCAGTTTATGAATAGTAAAAGTTTTCACTCATTTAGCTTCTGCTGTACATTTAATCCAAAGATGACGAAAACAAAGCTCAGAAATGTAGAGCCAGATTTTGTGTTAAACATCTGTGTTTTTTTTTGTTTTTTGTTTTTTAACCTATGGATTGTCATTTTATGTAAACATTGTTTTCACACTGACTTTTTTTTTTGTTCTCAACAGGCCTGCCCAGAAATCTGGAGACAGTACCACCTTACGGTAAGATTTGTTTCTATGTCTCTCATATAAAATGTGAAGACAGTTTGCGTGAACACCTTGAATGCATACAGAACCTGCCTGAGGGAATTCCAGGTGAACTGACTGTGTTAAGCGTCTGAATTAAGAAAATGACTGGAGTCCTTTGTGACATGAGTAAAGTCGAAGTGTATTTGTGTGCAATAAAACCTCACATGTCTATAAACACCATTAGTCTTGATTGTGGCTTTCAGAGAAAAGACTCCCGCTGGTTTTGTCTTTGTGTGAATGGTGGACTCCTGATGGTGTGTCTAAGCGGAGGAGAGATCAGCTTTCATTCGCCACAAAGGGCTGCTTTAATAACTAGCTTTGTGTTAAAGTGTGTAAAGTTACTTAATACAGTGAATTTTTTAAAAGCAATTTAATATTTGAATGTGACTTTGAGACTCGATTGGTTTACACGTGTTTTATGGAGTCGCTGTGTGCATTTCTCAGTATTTGCGTCTCTGTGTATGCGTTTTGTCACCGAACAATCTGAAAGTGGTTAATTGGCAAACTCAGTGAGCATTTTCTCCCCAAAGATCCACCAGGGTGAGAAGGCATGTGACAGTCACACACACAGCTAAACGTCAAGGGGCGCGCTGGAACATCTGCACACGCACACACATCCGCGCAGACTCCTGGAATATAGACCTCAGCCTAAGAGAAAAGAGCAGGTTGTTTGTCAATTAAAAGACGTGATAAAGCATGAAATGGGCTGCCAGCATCGCGCTGCGCCGAGCAGTCACTCGACCCGTCACACACACACACAGTCTAATTAGCTAGCCTGCCTAATGAAAAGGCCAGATCGTTAGCGCTAGCCTGGTGCGCTGGGTGGCAGAGTGGAGAGAGGAAAAAAAGAAAGGTGGGATGAAAAGAAAATGTTGCCTCTAGGGCTGTTAAAGAGCTGCGCGGAGGGTTAAAAGTCTTCAAAAATGTTCCTCACTTTCACAGTTTCTCAGCTTTGTTCCTCGGTGTTGACAAAAAAAAAGAAGTGTTTTCTCAGATTGTACTGATTGATATTATTATCACTCCTTGAAAAGCATATCATAATGTCCGACTGATGTTTCTGCCAAAGTACCATTATTATAGTTATTGTTTCTACAGTTAATGTCAGTGGTTAAGTAACATTTAAAATAAAATATATTTCAGAAATAATGTAAAATAATGTCCTATCTTAAACCCCAAATCCACAATTGTCTCTTTTGAAAACTTTTGAAAGCTTCTGTTTGTTTACAAAATATATGTGTGTGTGTGTGTTTGTGTGTGTGTTTGTGTGTATGTGTGCATAAATACAAAATACATGTATATGACAGGCTGAATTTTCAAATTCCTGCTGGAATATACAGTATAATAATAATTTATATATAATATAATATATATTTAGTTCATCATTTTTATATTATATTGTATTCTGTCTATTTCATGTTAATAAAATAATACATTATTTTAATAATAAATAATGTCTAGTATTTTATAAGAGATATTTACAAAACAAATATTCAGCCCAAATTATTGTTTAAAATTATTTTTAATAGGCTTATTCTTTGTAATAATAATGCATTTTAATGTCATATTAAGTATTAATTTGCCCTTCGTAAGATTAATTAAGTTTGATACTGTGTTGGTATGATTTTGACTATTTATTGTAAAATAAAAAATCGGATAATAAACGGCAGATAAACAAAAAAAAGTAAAGACAGACAGAAATAAAGAAAGTGTTTTTACACAGTTTTTGAAGGAGATCGTTTATGCTTCAGTAGTATAATTAGAAAAAAATGATTCAATTTCAGTGGAAACTATTTATTCATCACAAAAAGTTGGTTCTGTTTAAGCCGTCACTGTGAATTGCTGTTTGCGTGGACGACATGTGGACTGTTGTCCGAGTCTGAAGGATTTATACTGGTGTAAAATAGCGTGAGCTGGTTTCCTTCAGGTCCACTTGGTTCTGCTGGGCTGAGTCCATCTGCTTGTGGATTACTTTCATCCTCTGGGTCTTGCCCTGGTTCTGTTTGTGTGTGTAGGTACTTAAATTGAGTCACCCTCAACAGACGGTCTTTAAGGCCTTTAAACTATCCTGGAGTCTAGAGGGCTCAAAGTTAAATACAGTACAGATACCCCTGTGTGTGTGTGCGCGCGCATGTGTGTGTGTGTGTGTGTGTCGTGCTTTGGGAGCTCTGGCCTGTCGCCCTATGCTAGGCCCAGTCAGGTGTGAAAAGGCATTCTGTCAGACCAGTCCCTTTGTACTGGGTCTGTTTATACTATGTGTGTGTGTGTGTGTGTGTGTGTGTGTGTGTGTGGATGAGGCCTGCACCTGTCTTCACTAACAAACAACCACTCAACTCTACTAAGTTTGCCACAAAACCCAAAGGAGACAGACAGAGAGAAGTGCGAGTGTTCACAGAAGCTATGCAAAGAGTGAAAGTTTTACCAAGAAAATGTGGCAAATGGGACAAATGTGCTGTTAGGTGCGATGATACTGCATTTCCCTTCACTCTTTTATTCAATCTTATTCAAACATAATGGTAGCATTGTTATATAATATGGTCACAGCCTGTTTTACATCTGTCAGGACATCATTTTCCTCACAACCTTCATTCTCTTTAAAATACAATTTTAAGCATGATCTGTACACACACGCACAACTAGACACGTTTTTCATGAGGTCTAGGCGTATTTAGCAGCGCACAACATATCTTTTTATTACGGGTCTGAATGGGGGTGGATTCCAGACCTTTTAAGAGGATATTGGTGAGCAATTACCATTTTTAAAAATCCTTTTTAAAATCCCCCTTTCCACAAACTGATCAGCCTAGTAATCCTTTACACTGTAATGATTTAATTGAACCATTAGTATAAGTGAAATGGATTAGGAACATAGTTTTTGCATTCAAAGTTAATGATTCTTTTAAAGAGAAAGTCAACGGCAATTAATAAAGAAAAGGTTTTGCTGTCATCAGAGATGATATGAACATTTTCGGGATTTTATCCAGTAATTCTGACTCCACACGACCTTATAACGAACATTTGATATTTCTTATTCACTATTATGCACAGTATTATGCCGATAGATTGCACATTTAGTTGCACCTTATGCCATCATGAGATAAAAAGGGCTAGAATCAGCCTGTTCAAATGTTTAAACAGGAAGCAAATACTGTATATGGTTTGTAAATGTCTACATAGATGTATATGTGTTGGTGTGATAGACATACAGCACCATCTACTGATATAGATGAGGCACTACAGCAGTGGGACATTGTTCTGGGCTTATGTGCATGATTTTGTGTGACAAATAATGGCTGTAGTATGTCCCCAGAACATATATTTTTATTTATTAATATGGTATGATATGCTTTCAAACTTATCAAAGAGATTTTTGCCAGGTATAAAATGGGCGAAAAACATAAATTTACTTTGGAGGGCTAATCTAGGGATCACAATATCATAAATGCTTATAAGTGTCCCCACTGATTGCCAGGTAAACATATATTGTGACATTTGTGTAAAATATGTGATGACTTCTTTCCTATGGTGAAGAGGAACACTGTCCATGAGACACAGAGAAGGATCTGACACAGTTTATTTCGAGTATTTGTATCGATTCGACTCCCAAGGGAACAGCTCAGTGGAAATGTCAAAACACAGTGCTCAGATAAAGTAGTTCTTTCTCACGTTGATGTTGTGCTGCTGAGCTTTTTAAGAGTCTATGATTCCTGTGGAGTTCCTGAGTTCAGAACGGATGAAATCAATTGGGAAATTAATATGGATGAATATGTGCTTGTGAGCTTGAATTGAGGATTTAGTTTGCATTGTGTACGATTCTTTTGTTTTTGCAAGAAGTCTCTTATATGCTCACAAAGGCTGCATTTATTTGATCAAAAATACTGTAAAATAATAATATTGTGAAGTATTAGAATATAACTGTTTTCTGTTTGAATATATTTTATAATGTTATGCATTTCAATGATGGCATAGCTGAATTTTGTCGCATGATCCTTCAGAAATCATTCTAATACACAGATTTGCTGCTCGTGAAACATTTCCTATTATTATCAAAGTTGAAAACAGTTGAGCTGCATAATACTTTTGTGGAAACGTGACTCTTTTTTAACGATTTTTTTTTTTTTGAAGAACAGAAAGTTCAAAAGACCTTTGGTGTCTTTACTGTCTCTTTTTGGTCAGTTTATTGCATCATTGCTGAATAAAAGTATTAAAGGTACAATATGTAAGAATTTGTAATAAAATATCCAAAAATCACTTGTATAGTGCAATGTATTTCCTGCAGTTGTGTACTTACAATATCCCAAAAGTCTCCAAAGAGTTTTTATTTCAGAGAAATTCCAATTTTAAATAAGCGGCCGTCCCGGTAAAAGAATGTCGCCTGTCAATAACGAAATATCTGCGCTATCCTCGGTTTCCGTTCATACTGACTTAGCCATGATGTAACCATGGCGACAGACGTGAACAACTCTGTACTGCGTAACGTTTAGCGGCACGCAGTTCTTGTTTCTTTCAAACAGAGACCATGGCAAGCAGAATTTGGTACAAATAATAAGAACTAAAGTGAGGATCAATCTCAGCGTGGCGTTTTTGAGATACCGAGAGCTCTACGTCCCCGACTAACTTGGACTTGACAGAGCTTCACGAGTCACGACTTGAGCTCACGACAGGTGAGCAAATGTACATAAAATAAACCAATGTAATATCGTTAGCTCAACATGATGAAATGTTCGAGTATGGTCAGTATGTTATTCTAATGTTGATCTAGCTTACTGCTAGTTTCATATAGCAAACGAACTAACACGTAGTATAAAATAACTTTACACGGACATTTAAATGCCGTTTAGTGTGATAGTGTACTGTTAGGGTAGGCGAAGCAGCGCTGCGTTACCTCACAAGTTTAATTCGTCTAATAAACTGACTTGTGTGAGTAATCCAGCACTTGCGGGTGATTAAATGTCCTTATTCCTTTTTATATCCGC